ATAAGTTACACTTTAGACATATATGAATAATTTTGCCACAATCTGCTAAAAGTTTAACACCGTATTTAACTTTTCAAGAGCAGCAATCTTCAACTATCAGTTTTTTCTTTAAAGTGGCCATGAAATTGAAATGAAAGTGGGACACATCGTGTCGGCTTATTATACTACCGATTTAGTTATAATTTATTGTGAGCCATCAACTCTCTTTTTTAGGTTCTTATTATTTGCCTATGAACTAAATTAAATATCCAATCATCATATTTATTTGGAAAAGCTTATTTCTTTACAGAATAATCCTTTTTTGTTTTCTCTTGATCTTCTGTTAGAACAAATATTAAATGTTCTCGATACTGTCAGGTTGATATTTTAAATTTAAATAGGTATGCCTACCTAGTTGTTTCAGCTAAATGGCTAAATGAGCAGTCATTTAAAAAAAGGTAACTTAGTCCCATGACGGGTTGCTTTTGTTCCTTTATCGATTATTTTTACTTTTCGAAAATTATATTTCTTTGAATTAGTCTTTAGTTTTGCCTATTACACATATCTAAACAGTTTTTATACTTTATAATAACCACCTTCTCATTCTGGTTGCACTTCCCATATACTGAATTTACAAAAATTACTTTGCACATACATCTTATTATTTGGGAATATTTTAAAGTAACTCTCTATTAAACAGTACCATATTTCAGAAAAGAAAATAATTATTAACAACTATTAATAGCGATTTTAAAGAAGTAACTGAAATGGGTGGAAACATTGGTGATTTTGAAAAATATTGATGTTTTTGAAAGCAACCGCTCATCTTGATCTTTCTTGGTGTCTAGTTGACACATGTTAATCGAAAGAAGACTTATTGCTCTGTCAGATTGTTTTTGGTTACTTCGTAAGATTTAATTTTTGTGAATTTTCAATCATTTAAGATAGAATGTCGAGATGATAAAATTGATCATTTTCGGTACTTGCTTCTTTTTGTTTTTAAATGAGACGGGGAAAGTGATAAAACCGTTCAAACTGCTCTGGAAATTTGTGCCATATATGGCGATGATGTGATGAATGAACGAACAGCCCGCTAACGGTTGTTGCGTTTTAAAGATGATTTCAACCTTAAAGACATGAATCGTTCCGGACGCCCTGTTGAATTTGATGAAGAACGATTGAATAGACCCCTTCACAAAAATCCAAGACAATTAACAAAGGAACTGGCTCAGGAGATGGGATGTGAACGCAAAACAGTAGTAAACCACCTGCATTGAATGGGAAAATTTCAAAGACTCGGTGCTTGGGTCCCACATTTTCATAGAAAAAAAAATACAAATTAACGATCTACAATTGCCGCTAGTTTGTTCTGTCGTCATCGATCAACATGTGGTCATAAGGAATGTTTTCTTCATCGTACTGTCACTGCACATAAAAAATAATGTCTCTACGTAATCATAAAATTGCGGAAAGAATGGTTAAGACCTAAAAAACCATCAACTCCATGAACATGACCATAACTTCAGCCTCAAAAGACAATGTTATGCATCTGGTGGGATTGGAAAAGGATTCTTTATAGTGGGATCTTACCAAACAATCAAACCATCAACGTAAAACTCTATGTCCAACAACTATGCTGACTCCACACAGCTAATCAAAAAAGACCTGATTGGTAATATGACAGTGCACCACCACATATCACCAATATGACCAAACCAGTCATCCAGGAGTTGAATTATGAAGTTTTGCCCCACTCGCTTACTCTCTCGATCTCGCACCTTCTGATTTTCACTTCTTCCGCTTTTTGTCAAACTCTTTTATCAACGACAATGAATTAAGAGCTCGGTTGAAGGAGTTATTTGACTCAACACCGAACGATTTCTACAGAAGGGCATCGAGAAACTTGTTGAACGTTGGGAGGAGGTCATAAATAACGATGGAAAGTACATCACAAAAAATAAAATATCTCACAATTTGAAAAAAAAAACGGACATTACTTATTCTCTAGCTCAATATGATTGAGGATTATTTAGGTTTTTTCGACCTAACCAATATTTCGAGAAAAAGTGAGTGAAAAATGTTTTCTGTGGTATAAATCTGAGCTTTTTTTTAAACCTATCCGTTAACTTTTGTTAAAAACATCAACAATTTGTTATATGTAGGGTGTCTTCAAAATGTTGTAAAATCTCGAAGCTGGATATACTAGTGACCAAAATAAGTTGAGTGAAATATATCATAATCCAAATAGTAATAGTTAAAAGGTACAGTCAAAGTTACAATTTTATTTACAAATTTCTCTTTATCAATGGAGAATTTTTTTTAATTTTGACTAAAATTTGTGGAATCAGAGGAATCTCAGCAAAAATTTTTTCACTAGAGCCGGGAAATAAAATATGACAATCAAATGCTTTGGAGAGTGCCGCAAGCCACAGTTTGTCAATTTGGGAGTATATTAGGCAAAGTAGTGCTCTTTTTGGACAATTTTTGTAGTTATTCTTTATTAGTTTTTAATTTCTAGTTATATTTGTTACGCCGTTTTTGAATGATCTCTAATAAAATATGCAATTATTTTTACACTTTATTATAATTTTATTATTGAACTGAACTGAATCATTAAAATAAACTGTTGAGTACATTTAATACAAAATGCACCGACACTTTTAAAAGTAAATGTCTCAAAAACTATTTAAACGCTAAAAACAAGTACATCTATTTTGTTGAAGGACGAGATACTAAGATTTTTCGATCAATAATTTCATACAGGGAAGCACAAAATATATATTATTAGTTATTTACAAAAATAGAGGTATTCGTGACGCCATGTAGAAGTCTGATCAAAATTAAGCGAATTCTTCTTTCTGATACCAAAGAAACCCCCAGATACTGAATTTTAACCAAAACCTAATCAAATTCTTCAGCAATAATGAAGAAATTGTAAGTAAAATTGTAACTTTGACATCCTGTATTTTTTTAAACTATCCATATTTGGAGTAAGGTATACAGGGTGTTAGAAGTTTGACTGCCTTAATTTTAACAGACAATAGAATACATTAAAATAAACAAAAAAACCTTATATGACATGGGTTCTAAACTCAACCATTTCCCAGAAAAAAATTATCAAAATTGCCAACTAGATGTACAAAAGTTCGATTAATTAAGGAATATTGACATAACTGCGTGCATAGAGTACCATAAAATACAATATTTATCACTTTTTTTTAACTTCTTTATGTTAAATTTAAATTAAAAGTAATTAGCGTACGAATAAATTTAAAAGTCGATAAAATTCATATCGAGCAATGTGACAATGGCGCGGCGGATAACATGAGTTTCCCGCTATCCAGCAATACACAATTCAGTTGGTATTTGGAATTGGACCGTGTCTGAGTGTTTTTTGCACACCACTATTTCCTTTTCTAAAGTGTTTTCCAGCGAGTGTGCGAAAATTGGATTCGAAGGTGTCGTGCATGCATTGAAAATGGTGGTGGGCATTTTAAGCGTATGTTGGAATTTGCTTTGTACTTACTGAATTTTGCTTTTTGGTAAGTCTCTAAATTATTTTTAATACGTATGATTATTTGAACGACGTGAATCTTTGGGTACTTTAATTACATATTTTTTAAATTCATAATTTGATTCAACGTTAAGTTCCTGTTTTAAGAGATTCATAATTACTAAAATTCGAGCTAAAATTTAAGCACAACACTATCTTCGTACTACAAAAGCGATACATTTTATTTTATTTATTTACTAAATGTTTCACAATAATAATTGTTTACGTTTTTGTTATTCCGTAGGATAAGTTTGCCTAAAAATGAATCAATACACAAATAACAGACTTTCTTCCATACTCATGCAAATTTTCTATAAAATAGAGTTAGTTCGAAACCCAAATTTCTTTACACCAAAAAATTATTTGAGATTCAAACTAAGTCCATTTTATAGAAAATCTGTGTTAAAATGAGAGAGTCTGTTATTTGTGCATTAATACATATTTAGACAAACCGTATACTAAAATCTATAAAGATGTATTGCTGGTTGCCTATTTGCTATAGAGCCCTCTTAATATTGGTGATGCTTTAGGGATTTTTTGACGACATGCAATGTTGGTTGCCTAAGCTCGGGGGTCACGTGGCTTGTAATCTTCTATGAAGGCTCTGTTTACCTAGTTTCAAAATTTCTAGCCATTCCAAGACACTTTGGACAAAGTGAAAAATTATTACCAATTTTTTCAGCATTTTCAAAAAAAATAATAAATCTTGAATAAATAGAAATATCAAGATAATTTAAAAAAGAATAACTCGGCGGGAGAGCATTTTAGAGAAAAATGTTAAATACAAAAGTTTCAGGATTTCTCCCTGGCTATCTCATTTGAAAAATCACATTTGACCTTGAAATGGTCTTCAAGGTCAAAGTCATCATCGGATAGCCAGGGAGAAATCCTGAAACTCTTGTATTTACCATTTTCCCCTACAATGCTCTCCCGGCGAGTTACTCCATCATTCCTATACTTTTGTTAGTTTGACCTTGTGGCGGCCCCAAGGTCAAAAGAGAGGTGTCACTTAAGGTCATATCTGAACGTAAAATTTTCAGTTCCTTTCATTTCTGGGGTCAAAAGTATAGGGTCCCATTTGAAAAATCACATTTGACCTTGAAAATGACCTTTAAGGTCAAGGTCAATGTCAAGGTCACCATCGGATAGCAAGGGAGAAATCCTGAATCTTTTGTATTTAACATTTTTCTCTAAAATGCTCTCCCGCCAAGTTATTCTGCCCTTCGGGTGCTTTTTCTATACCTTGTATATAGCAATATTAAAGTTGCAAATTTTTTTGGATGGCTCCAAATGCAAAAAAAATCAAACTTGAGCTTAGAAAAAAAATTAACACTCATTAAATTTACTCCAAATTTTGCAGGATCAAATTTTAAACCGTCAAGTACATTATACAACAAAAAAAATAATTTTTAAAATATTCAAAACTTTTTTTAAGCACTGATATTTCTCCCCTATTAAAACATACAAATATAATTTAATTATATATTGAATATTAGTAAAAAAAAGGTAATACATTACATGCTTATGAAAAATGTCTCATTTTATATTTACAATGTAGCTTGGAAAATCAAATACAGTGCTGCATTCTACCCTACATGATCCACTTAGTTGTATGATAAACATGTTCCACCGCAACCAACCAGATAAGTTACTGCTCGTCCTTATCCTTAGCTCCATGCTTCAAAATGCGAGTGAATTCAACGTAATCAAACAATCCGTTCTTAATTGGAGCTTCTCGGTACATCTCATCTACCTCGTCGTCGGTGAAACGATCGCCCATTGTTGTTAGGAGCTCTCGAAGGCGTTCTTCGTTTATGACTCCGTTGTTGTCTTCGTCGAAACAGCCGAAAGCGTTTTTAATTACGTCTTCTGGGTCGGTTCCTTGGAGACGTTCCCCGAACAATGTCAAAAACATGGTGAAGTTTATCGGACCGGGCGCCTCGTTCATCATTCCGTCCAAATAATCATCCTTTGGATTTTTTCCTAAGGAAAATAAAGGAAATAAATATTTAAAAAAACTCAAAATAATTGTGGTTAACTGACTTTAATGGTTTTTGTGCAGTGACGAATTTATTATTATTTATTTATTCTTTCAAAAAAAATTGTTTTACAATTTTTACAGGAAGAGTTCTGTAACAAGTGGAAAAGCAAAATCTTATGTCAAAGTAATTATACCATTTTAGGAGAATGAGAAAAAAAAAGGAAAAAAAATCAAATACCTTAATATTACAATTACAAAACAAAAAAAATTATTAAGCAAGCGTGGGAAAGTATAGAGAAAAACAATTGCTCATTTAAAATAAAGGCACGAAGCTTAAGTATACCCATTACAAACATGCAGCAGTTTTGGTTGGTTTTTTGCATGTTGTCAAGAAAACTATTAAATCACCAAGAGAAGTTAAATTCCTAAGATCAGGTGATTTAAGATGTTCATATATTTAATAAAGGTAAAATATTAGTGAACACTTTAGCAAGGCAATTAACCAGTGCAATACTGCGATAGTTAGAAGGATTATCTGTTTTTTATGAAACATTATTAGAATCACACTAGACCAAGCTAAAGGTGTATTACCATCATCAAGAATTTGATTATACAGGGTGAGTCAGTTTTTTGTAGACAAACTTTAACAGGAGGTAAAACACATGTTTTTAAAAAGAAAAGTTCCTATAAACATATGTCGTAGAAGGCTTCGTTTCCGAGATACGGGGTGTGGAATATAATTTTTTTTTCTCGAATATTCATTATAACTTATAAACGAATGCTTAGATTTTTTTCATGCATAAAACAAGCGATAAAAATGTTCAAAAACTTGCACAGTGGCGGAGTGGGGGGGTGCTCAACCCCTTTCTTAAACAGAACTTCTACGCCAATGACTATTTTTTAAAAAAACTGTTATTTTCATTATCTACATACAGTTTAACAAAAATAATGTTCCTTCTTCTGTTTCGAAATTCCTGTACGTTTCCGAGTTATTTTCATTTTTAGTGTTTGATGTGATACTAAATTAATTTATTTATTATCAATTATCGGCTAAATATTTAATTCTTTCAACGAAACCTACCGAAATATGGTTTGTTATGGATTCTAAATAGCCGAAATCTCTTATTCTTTAACTTTTTCCAACGTAGTCAAAATAAATGTTTGTTATATCAAACCATACTCAAATACAAGACTTTTATAAGTTGAAATATGTTTAGTATACTAATTTTAACAATTCTTATTTATTATGTGCTGCGTAAATACTAATGTACTGCAACTAAATTACAAAAAAAAACATTGAATGAACATTGATGTTTATGTTTATGGAGAAATTTTTTGAATTTAAAACAATATTTAATTAACAACTTCTTAAAACTTTTTGGCAACTGCACAATAATGTATTGAACAGATTTCAACTTATACAAGTCTTGTATTTGAGTATAGCTTGATATAACAAATATTTATTTTGACTACATTGGAAAGAGATAAAGAATAAGAGATTTCGGCTTTTTAAAATCCTTAACAAACCATATTTAGGTAGGTTTCGTTGAAAGAATTAAATATTTAGCAGATAATTGATAATAAATAAATTACTTAATTTAGTACCACAACAAACATTAAAAATCAAAATAACTCGGAAACGTACAGGAATTTCGAAACAGAAGAAGGGACATTATTTTTGTTAAACTGTATGTAGATAATGAAAATAACAGTTCTTTTAAAAAATAGTCATTGGCGTAGAAGTTCTGTTTAAGAAAGAGTTTGAGCAGCCCCTCCACTCCGCCACTGTGCAAGTTTTTGAACATTTTTATCGCTTGTTTTATGCCCCTTAATTAATAGGCATCATCTCCCAAACATGAAAAAAATCTAAGCATTCGTTTATAAGTTATAATGAATATTCGAGAAAAAAAAAAATTATATTCAACACCCCGTATCTCGGAAACGAAGCTTTCTACGACATATGTTTATAGGAACTTTTCTTTTTAAAAACATGTGTTCTATCTCCTGTTAAAGTTTGTCTACAAAAAACTGACTCACCCTGTATACAGTACATAGATATAACTGTCAGTTTTGAGGTAAATTTTTAAGGAATTCATAGGATATTTCATCTACACCAGGGGATTTGCCATTTTTACAACAAACGAGAGTAGCTTCAAGTTCAGGGAGAGTAATTGGTACATCAAGAATCGGATCTTTAGCGTCAAAAAATAATGTGCTGTCAAGTAGATTAGCGTCTTCCAGAGCACACTTTGATCACTAGCAGCATCCAAGCCAGAAACAACAGATCTGTCATACAAATAATTTTTATATTTGATCAGCTTGGAGTACTCCTTCTTAATACAAATACATTCACTTTTAAAATGCCCAGAAAAATTGTTAGCTTTACAATTAGAAAGACTAAGTCCAAGTTTTTTTTTTTCATAATTTTACATTCATCATCAAACCATGGTTTCTTTGGAGAGAATGAAGAGATAGTAGTGTTAGTGGAGTACTTTTTGATCATACCCATATTATGCACAGATTCGACTATCACATTACACAAGTTATTATAAGAATCACTAGTAGCGTTAAGAAGTTGTACCCTCTGTGAATAGTGCATTAATATTTTAAAACCAGTGCCGAATTTATCATAAACAGAATGTTTTTGTCAATCAGAAATATAGCCGAATTTTTTTTATTCAAATTATAATTAATAATCGATCTACTGAGAACAGTTTCTTGTGATTACGGTGATGGAAAGTCTAATGGATCTACCTCTACGACAATACGATCAGAATATCAAATTGGAAGCCAACATGACTGTGCTGCTAATCAGACTAATAAAAGAAGAGGTATGGTGGAAATTAATAAGTATTTGCTTGGTAACCAAGACATTATCTAATACATTCAGCTTATAGACACTCCCTCAGATTTAAAGGGTATCCCAGTAATGATCAAAAATAAAACCTGATTGTAGAATCTCTGAAGAAAAAAGTTTTTATGAATTTATGATCTAAAAGCCTTAGTTTTCGATGTACATCTTTCAAAATATCAGAAAAATTCAAAATATCAGAAAAACACATCTCCAAATACACAGAGTGTTCTGAAAGTCCATCAGCAAACTCTGGAAGGTGATTCTATGAATTAAAATAATAGTAATATGTAATGAAAATTTTTTCGAATTGTCGATTCTTTGCAAGTTACACCTTGTCAAAGTTCAATTTTTTTTATTTTTCTTTTTAAATAACTTATTTAATTCAAGTTCGATTGGTCTCTCATTTGGCACACCCACTAAGGAGATGAAGCTCTAGCGGATCAGTCAGAGAAAAGTTTCATTATACACCCCTAGAGGGCACTTTATCTATAACTTAAAATTTGTTTTGTTCGTAACTATTTTCTCTTGCTAGACATCACAGAAAAAACATTATTGAAAAGAGAAACAATATCAGAAAAAATTATGTATTCTTTATTCAAGCCGATAAATGTAACTGTTCGGCAGGAAATCGCTATTAACCCTTAACTACTAACGTGTTTCATACAGGGTAGGAAAGTACCGATGGTCTATCTGAAGTTACGTGAGAGCGATAAAGTAAGCCATAGAAATCCATGCGATAGAGAAGGATGGCTATAATGAAGGCGTCTCATAGTCACCGCCCGTTTCGCTCTTCCACAAACAAGATCCACTTCTTATTTGTCGAAGGGCGAAATGGGCGTTGACTATTAGACGCCTTCATTATAGCCATCCTTGTCTATAACATGGATTTCTATGGCTTAATTTATCGCTCTCACGTAACTTCTGATAGACCATCGGTACTTTCCTACACTGTATATGGCATTGTCACTAACCCTATGTATCACAGACCGCTATAAGTATTATGCATATATTATGCATAAATTTATGTAATTAATTGCAATGACCTGTTATTTGTGTTCTTCATACATCTGGCAATTTGTTGCTTTTGTTTAAAATTCAGCTAATAACACAAGCTTTTAAAAAATGATAATCTTGAACGGATGTTCGAAATTTTCTGCAATTTAACAATGACAACTACAAATGCCAAAAGATAGACAAAAACACTTGTATTTTGAAAATGTAAATTTTATTTTTAATAATCATAAAACTAAATATCTGTGAAAGAAATAAAGCAAAAAACGCAAAAATAAAAAAATAACAATTGCTCGTTTACACTAAAGGCACGTCCGAGAGACGGCTACTCTTATTTGATTTCAAATATTCCATAAACTAAACAATTCACGGTCACCATCCTTGGGATACTGGTTCGATGCTAAATGGACAAATTACGTAAACGCCCATTAAACAATATTGAGTGGCAAGGGGTTATCTCGCCTATGGTGTGTTGCAGTCCCGTCTCTGAGACGGTTCTTTCTGTAATTAATCAAGTTACCATGCTGTAATACCATCTCTTGTAAAACCAGCTTTGTTAGTAAATAAAATATTATTAGTAAATTCGTTATCCTCATATTATTACAGAGACGAAAAAAATTTATGGTGAAAAATCTGACATACCTGCTTTAAATAATTTTTGTTACAATTCGTAACACCAAAATTACTAATGACATTTATTTGAAGCATGGTAACTTGATTAATTACAGAAAGAATTATAAAAAATTTTATGTTCAATAACATATTAATAGCGATTTCCTGGTAAACGATTACATTATTGTCTTGAATAAAAAGTACATAATTTTTCTAAATATTGATTCTCTTTTCAATAATGTTTAAATATCTGCGATGTCTAGCAAGAGAAAAAATTTATGAACAAAACAAATTTGGAGTGGGTAAAATGCTCTCTAGTGGCGCATAATGAATCTCTTCACTGACTCAAATGAGAGACTAATCGAACTTGAATTAAATTAGTTATTTATAAAGATATAAAAATTAAAAAAAAATTGAACTTTGACAAGCTGTAACTTGAAAACAATCGACAATTCAAAAAAAAATTTCATTACATACTGCTATTATTTTAATCCATAAAATCACCTTCCAGAGTATCCTGACGGACTTTCAGAATTTGACGTATATTACTGAAAGGACTTAATGAATGTAAAAATTCAGTGAATTTGTAATTATATTAATCAGTTGCGGAGATATCAAGAGACACCTTAACTAAGCACCCCTAAATTTCAACGCCGCTGCATATTTTGGGAATTCTATATGTTCATTTGATTGGCAGGTGTACATCAAAGGAATAATATATCTTCTGTATTATTTGTAAGAATTTTTTCTGGTATTTTTTTTCTAAAATATGCTTTCCACACAGTTCAATAATTCGTAAATAATTCAAACACTATACGTTTTACAAAAAAATATATTACCTATAGAAATTTTTATTGCCAATATGATACTAAATAAGTATACAGTAATCAGAAATTTAAAAAAATATTATTGGTTCAGAAATATAAAATTTACGGAGGAATAGCAAAGAGCAAATTTCTACTCCTCTGACTGACTTTTTCAGACTTTAAATGAATATAGTATTTAAAATTGCACTTGCAAAAAAAATTCCTATATTTTTTAACAAAACGAATACTTAGTTTTACAATTATTTTCAATGTATTTGACTGTGGTAAGTTTATTTTTGAAAAAAAAAACAAGGCTCGAAACTAGTTTACAAATAAAATGTAAGATATTTTTTCTTCGAAATACAAGAACAAATCAAATGAAATTATCCCATGTCCAAAAGCATCAAAATTTTGAGGATTTTAGTAACAATTACTTCTGGTATCACCTCTGGTATCTGGTTAACATAATTGTATATGAATTGAGTGAATTTTTACTTTTATTTAGCTAAGTTGCTAGTCCGAGTAGAAATAGTTGTTTTTGTGATATTTTCCAAAAAATATAACACCCTGTATCTTGAAAACTAAGAGATATATCCATAGCAACTCTTTCCTTAAAATTATAAAGGGATTACATTACACTATATCACTTATTATTAGAAATAGACCCGTTAAACCTTTTATCACTATAATCGTAAGAGAGTTCTATTGAAATAAATAAAAATATTCATAAGAAAAAAATAAAATTTCTGTTATATCTGAAGAAATGACAAACTCATAACAATGCAACTGCTCTTATCAAACAAAAATAAACTTGGTGCCTCCTTCATTATATATCTAAAGATCAGTATGTATTGTATTGTTTTACTTTTGTATGAAATCATTATTTAACTGAAAATTAAAAATCATGAAACTAAAACAAATTTGGTGGACAGCTGCGACATGCTAAACTCTGCCTTAATTATGCCACCTGTTAATAGGAAGCTCAACTAAAATCTCATACGACTGTATGTCTTTTATTTATTAATAGAGAAACAGAGGAGTTACTTAAAAAAGAAGTCTTTTGTAATAACATCAATAGCCTACTAGACTTTTTTCGCAACTTTCACTCATACTACAAATACGACTTCAATCGCGAAAAAAAAAAGCCTTATGTCACAACTCGATATCAATGGCCTGCGATTTGAACTAAAATTTTTAAGATCAAATAAAAATTTATGTAAGGAGTTTTAACTGAAACTGCTTATACGGTTCCTATTAACTTTCGTTGAAAAATATTGTTCCGAGATAAAACTATACACATATGGCAATAGAACATGACATTGCATTACATATTAAGCACTGTATAAACAAAGGAAATATTTTTTTACTGGTTACTGCTGTTATAAATATAACTAAATATATTTACCTAATGATGCAAGCATATCATGTAGATCTTCCTTGTCCACGAAACCGTCATGGTTTTGATCGATCATATTAAAAGCTTCTTTAAATTCTGCTATTTGGGCTTGATCAAACATAGCAAACACATTTGAAGTGGCCCTTTGGGCACGTTTCTTTGTTGTTCCACGGCGGCTTACGGTTTTTCTGGACGACATTTTCTGTAATTCAACGATTTTTAATACATCAAATGCTTTCTCAAAAAGCCACTTATTTGTATTCACATAAACTTTTATACCTCCCAAAAGGTAAATAGGTCGGTGACGCATGAGGTAGAAATGCTTATTTATCGGTTTTTGATAAAATTTAATGGTAACAATAATTATTGCTTCACAAAATAGGAACTTTAGTAACAAATAAAGGAATCTTACCTGTATCTTAATACTATTTACTCAACATAAAAAAGTTAATTGGTATATGAATATAAAAAATTTAAGGCAAATTTGTAGAATATAAGAAAAACTTTACACGTTAACGAACTAAATTTCACTCGATTTTAGTACTTTACTTTGACAGATATTGCACTGGAGTGGGGGAAATATTACTGGTAAAATTTCTGACTAATGTTGCCACACCTAGTTCAACTTACCAATCGTAACGCATAACCTTAAAGCGGTAAAATTTGAATCACCATTTTCAAATTAGAACAAAGTGTTTTATTCGAATCCAACACAAAAAATGTTGTTATAATAATAACATCCGATATATACGATCCAGTCATTAAATAGTTTAGAGTTACTTATCTAAAACGAATAAATTTGTTTCATATGTTCTAAGTGCAATAAACTCACAGCTTATTTAAAATTAGGTCAGTTTCGTCTTTCCCTTATAAGGTTACAGTTTCAAAGATGATGAAGTAATCTTAACGTTTGCTATAATTTGTTCATATATGTATATACGTGCTACATACCCGCAAAACACAATACAGTGTGAGTCACAGATAAGTGTAAAGAATTTAATCCAAACTCCAAACTTCTGGTCAAAAAGTAATTAACTTAACAATTAAGTAGCAAAGAGCTTCTTTAGAATGTTGCTTGAGTTTGCAAAAAAGTTCCTTTATGCTTTATGGTAACGATATTTAAATGGAAATTGGCTAGGAGGTTTTAAGGATAGCCAAACATAAATATAAACTTACTTTCTATCTAAAACATACAGGTCTTTATGAAAATCTTATGACAACACTTGTGTCAATATATAGGATTTATAGTAACTTTATTTAAGGAATCTTTTAGGAAAATGTAGTTGCTTTTTGAAACGCCAGATTCTCATATTACAAAAAAATATTAAACTTAGATCGTCTAAACTAAAATATTAGAACTTAGGTCGTTGGATCCTGTGAAATCCACCTGGTTATTTAAAATATGACTATCACACCTACAATAAAACATTATTGTCATTATTAGAGTTTTAATCCCATGCTCATAGTTATTTCTAGTTTTTTCAAGTGCTTAAAATTCAAACAAATTTCGATCTAATTTTTTTCAGGATATTCATACAAATACATCTGACATACTCTTTCACAGTTGCGGTTACAGGTATAATAAATTCCGATCATATTACGCTTATCTTCATTTTCAACATTTGCCAAAGTTGAAACGGTTTTGAACATTTACTGTAATTCTTTAAAGTATAATATTCAGGATTTCACAGGGTCTAACGACATTTAGTGTTCAATAATTCAATAAACATAGAAATCTAAATAAAAAATTTAGATACATTTGGAACGAATACATTGAAAATGAATTTTTTGAGACAAAACATCTGAATCTGGTTCGGGCTGAGGCAGTACAGTATTGGGGGTCATGAAAGCTTGCAAAAAATTTAATAAAATTTCCAAGGTCGTATTTAAAAAAAAATTAACTTGTTGATGGTCCCGATTTTTTAGAGGCATAATGTTGGTCCCCTGATTATACAACTTATCCCCATATCTCTTTTCCGTTTCCGAGATCCCTGTAGTGAGAAGCGAATTTGTAACAGCCTGTTATATTAATTCTTATGTTTTTTTCTACGCCCAAATTTTTTTTAGTTTAAAAGTGACAAATGTCAGAAACAGTATGAACAAGTGAACGTAACCTCAACAAAAATTTACGAATTTTGTTATTAAACAAGCTTACCTATATTAAATTGATCTATATTTTAACAAGTATAGTAGTTTTTAAAATAAAGATTATGATTTTTGAGGTATGTAATGTATGTATCAGTTTTTCGGTTTATTATGCCGTGGTTGAACTTTTTTAAGTTTAGCTAGGAATCTTTAACCTACCCTTATTGTTCTCGGGCTAGATACTGTGGAGGCGGACCCCGCTGTCAGAACCCCTAGCCTCGCCCTGATGTTAATTTCGCTTGCTGTTGGTTCTAAGGCCGGATGGAATCCTTTCTCCAACAATGCTATCTAATATTTTCTGTAATAACTGGTCGCATTCAATGCTTCTAAGTGCAGGATACATCCGATTATAGATATAAAAAAACGACTAGTGTTTTATTGCAGAATTCTGATTTATTATTTCAATGACGTGTTCTACAAAAACTCAATTTTTTTGAAAACGGCTAATTTTTTCGAAACAAATATAGAGTACCTTTTTTAAAGAGGAATCAGCAACGTATTTAAAAATTCAGTTTTCAGCTCTATAAAATGACACCTGTCAAAATTTTGGCCCAACGAGTGTGGTGGCAAGTCCGTCCCTGACTTCCTTGACAGTATAAAACATCTACCATAGTATGGCTTTATGAGCCTTTATGGCTTACATAAAATATTAAAATTTCATTGAATTATACAAGTCGGTTCAAAAGTTAGAACCGAAAAAGTAAGTCGCTGGGTACCCCTTTGGGGCGCTGTATCTCCGTTAAGGGGCACTTTAGGAATTTTTTTATGGCAACCTAGGGTTATTTTGACCTCCCCTATACACTCCTGAGAGTATGCCATATACTTACCAGACACCGTGGATATTTATTATGTGGAGTAAATAAAAAAGTTTTTTATACTTTATAAAATTTCACAAGCGTAAAAAATTTTGAGTAGTTTTCGTGCCAGATGGCTATTTTTATTTAAATCCCAAATGCAGGGCCAGGTTATTTGGCACCTGAAGCAAATATTTACTTGCCGCCCGTTGGAACAACAAATTTATTAATAAAAAGTTATAAAAAATTTAAAAAACGTTTCAGTAGACAAAAATAAATCAAAAAATATTTTAGTGAAAAAACAAACAGAAATTATAAGAAACAACTTATAAAAAATAAAACAGATTCCAATAAAACCAAAAATAAAAAATAATCAATAAAAACAAAAAAGAAACTAAATAATGTCAAAACGGGATCTTTACACATATCACATATCAACTTTTCTACATTTTTCATCAACAAAGTCTTCAATAATATCAGCGTAAACTAAATTATTTGTTATATCTTTCTTAAATGCCGCCCTTAAAAAATGCTGCCTAAAACATCTGCTTCGCTGTTTCACCCCTTCCGCCGGCCCTGCCCTAATGATATTCTAATTGAAATAGCACTATACTTTTGTTGAAAAATTTTTTTTATAAATTGGTTCCTTGTAAGGTACATTTAATAAATTAATTAAGAAAAATAAAACAAAATTATATAGATATATTTTAACTATACATACAGTTATTCTACAAATTTAATACAAAATGAGTATTTACAAGTTTGATCGACAGAAATCATCATGTATCACACATACACAGACACACCCACTATTAACAATAAACAATATTTTACATATCGTACTTTACAACGAATGACTATTGAGATTTTACTTTAAACATCAATTATCATCAGCGTCATTTTTGGTTTGCGTTATTAATTTCATTAATTATTATAAATAAATCTTGGATGGATGCAGAAACCGACAATAAATAAACTACTTCCATTTCCGCTTTCCCTCAAATTTTGATTTGGTCAATAAACATACCCTCTTCTGGTTAGCATTTGTACAGTCAAGTCAAAAAAGTACTAAGTTGCATAGTGTTATCGCACTGCAACTCCGTTAATAGTCACTGCGTTTCCGTAAATCCTTTCGATTGGTTCTGGTTCGTAAGTGCCACTGTCTCGACTTGTTTCTTCGTATGGAGCATCGTACAAGTTCTCTTCGTGGATGTTTTCATAAATATTCGTTGACTCTAGGTTAGGGTGTGCATAACCGTTTCGATCGCTGAGGGTAGCGTAACTCATTACCGCTGCGTTTCTGTCTTCCTTCCTTTCAGCGCCTTCGACGTTTTCTGTGTTCTTGACTGCAACTGGTTTCCGTCTGAAAGATAATACGTCACTTTAAGAAACAATGAATTCGCGATTAACTACTATTAACTTACAATTTCAAGTAAGTGGCTCCAAGAAGGAGTAAAAGGAAAAGTACAATTCCAGCTCCAATTCCAATACTAGAACCCAGGTTAGATGTTTCTTGGGGTTCTCCAGTAGTCACTGTAAAAGAAAAAGTTAAACATCGTTAAATATAATCGTACATTTTTTAAATCTTACAATCTGATTCACATTAGCGAAAATTATGGGACTTTTCAAAATACAGATTGTCAGAGTTAAAATTATAAAAAATGTATTAAAATTGACTGCATAGACTTGTATTTCATAACAGCACAACTTTTTCCATTGCACATTTATTATTCAAAGTATTGTTTTTTCTACGAAACTCTCATTTCTGTAATTACACCGCCACATATACAAAAAAACTCGAATGCGAATACGTAGACTACTCATTTTGAAGAGCTGAAAACGATACCGTAGTCAGAATTTATGCACGACAGCTCAGTATCTTGTAAAATCGATATTTAGGGTGAAAACGGACCCAAAAATTGCTCAATCATAGTCCAAAATTGATTTTGATCTGCATAATATCTGTCATATCTATTCGGACATATTTTGACTAGCTAAAAATCGGTCAATTTAGCCAAAGAAGGAGTCTTCGCTTTGCTCAGACTAACGAGATTATAGTTAATATTTGTTTGTAGACTATTTTACTCTTTTGTTTTCAAATGATCTGCGAGAGGATGTCCTTTTCTTTTTTTTTCGTCTATAGTTTCCGGTATATCTTGTTTCAGATTCCAACAATAGTGGGCTAACATATTTACGTTCCATCTTCCTTGATATCGCTTTTCCAGTTCTTTGAAGTCCTGATGGAATCTTTGGGCCTGTTCTTCATCTGATGGAACCTTTCGCCCTTTTCTTCAGCCTGTTCTTTACTCCTGTTCTTCACTCTAACTCTAAATATAGATTCTATAAGCTACTGGCAGCTTATTAAAATGCGTCGGAAATAATATGTCAGATCTGTGGGTTTACACTTTTTTGATATTCTATGAATTAAAACGGCTGTCTAAAAATAAGGAACCAAACTTTGACAAAGAGTGTGTTTTGACGATTAATGGCAACGAAATGAGTAGCACTACAGTAGTATAAATCTTCGCACTAGAATTTTTTTTGTGTCAGTTTTATTTTCACCAAGTAAAATTTTTAATCTAATTTAAGAAATTAAGTTAATAGTCCAGTCACTGAAGCATTATGGCTACTAATTTTTTCAGATGGAAAATTTTAGCCCAATATGCATGTTTTTGATCCATTTTTCGCGAATATCTCAAAAACTACAAGTTTTATCAAAAAAATTATCATAAGAAAAATGAAGGTAATTAAATAGCAAAGATATTGCTTTTTTTATTTTGGTAAATGGTATAGAACCCGAGTTATGACTTCCATAAGTTGAAGTCAATTTCAAAGATAGTTATAATCGAAACGTTTAACGTTCTGTGTTGGAAAAATTAAAGGTTTTTCGAGGAAAACATATAACACCTATTAAAATTCTTGGAAAGACCTTTAAATTGAGTGGTGGTAGAAGTCGTTAGCATGAAAACTAATGAAGTTACAATCAAAATAAAATGATTGTCTTGATTTTTGAGAAAAAAAAAATCGTTATTAAAATTAATGACTTGATGAAAAAAAAAATTAAACGTATTCCTTCTGCAATTTACTTTATTTATATATTAACAGTAGATTCTGGGAATTTGAACGATTTTAGAAGCCTAAATTAAAAAAAGTTTCATTTACTTTTGAATAAAATTTTTTAATTTTTTAAAAAATCGCATTTTTTTCAAAATATTTCAAAAACTAACAAAGTTATAAAAAAAATGATAGAATAAGAAATTGTAGGTTTTTTCTTACTGAACAATTTACTTTATTTTTAAATTTTTGTAGGACCAAATTTGACTGAGTTATGACCGTTGCAAGCTCAAAACTAAGCTCCAAGACTGCTTTTCCTGAGCCCTTTTAGCTTACAAATCTATAAAACAAAGGTCTCAAAAATACTGCAAATCGCCGAACTTAAAGTGCTTTAAATTCCCTACAACATGATTTTTTAGTAAATTTATAACTTTAAAATTACAAAAGTTATGGTAAAAAAGTTTATCGCATTTTTTCGGTAAAATTTTCGAAGCGGGTAAATTACCATCACCTTTGTGTATTTTGGAGCACTTGTGAACTGATTTGAGTAAGTATTTTAATAATATACATACACACACGTATCCATTTATAATGTACATAATTTTTTTTTATTTGACATAAATTTAATAAAAAAATATTAAGAATAAATTCAATAAAATTAAAAAAAATAATTATATCATCATAGTCACATATAATTTTTAGAAAATTTTTCTATAAGGGGTAGGGTTTTTTATGAGGAGTAGGTCTTCCATAAGGGTTTTTTGGGTGGCTGAAAAGTTGCAATATATCATAGCTCATTTGGAAACCAATAAAAAGTTTATAATTCAACATAGATATGCATACCATTAAAACATCTCATGTTGTCAATAATATTTTATTTTATTATAAGGGATGGTTGCAACTTTGTATTGAGTCATAAGTTTTCTATTGAATAACAAAAGAAATGTAATACATTGCGAATGCACCAAAAGAATATTTTAAACTGTTAAAAACTTTTTTTCTATTTTTTTGGCCATGGAAGGTCAGTTATTAAGGATTTTTAAGGGTTGAAAAGTAATTAAATTTTATAAATTACATATATTAAAAAACATGAAAGGAACTTTATCCTACATATTTGAACATGAATTGAATCTTTAAAATACGTAAATCTGCGATTTTTCGCATTTTTTTCGTACAAGGGTAGGTTTAACCCCCAAATACAAAAAAGCACACATCTAGTCAATATAACTTTTGAAGTGGGGGGTCAGATGAGCTCGCATGCAAATTTTCAGGAAAATCCATGCTATCCGAAAAAATTGGGAGCTTTTACTTTATTTTCGCCTTTAGTGACTGGACTATAATTTAAAATCGAAATTTTGCAATTTTAGTCTTCTCCAATTTGTTCTAACAGTTGTTAAGCTGAAACCACGTGTTTTGTGCCAAAAAATAAAAATAAAATGATGGTCATTTACTTGTCGATTTACTCGATTTTTGAACATCTACAGTGTGTCCCTTTAAATTGTCTACAAATGGGTAACTTTTTTATTATCAATTTGACGAAAAAAATATTCTTTATAAAAAGTTCTGCTTTTTGAAAAAATAGTATTAAATTTTTCACATTTGAAATAGCATATACAGAATGGCCAAAAATGAAAAATCAAGCTTCGAACGTGAATATCAGACTTTGTTTTCCGGCAATATTGAAACAAGATATTTTTCAAGCTTCACTATCTAGAACAAGTCAGTGATTATTACACCAAAAAAATCTTTTGAGGAATAAATTCATGCCGCAAATAAATTACATTCAATAATAATAATTGATGAATGTATATATTTCAAAAACACAAAACAATTTCAATAGTAAACATTACATGCAAATAATTTAAATGAATTTTTTCGTCACTGCACATTAGCCTCCATATTTTCCTTCACTTTTCATACAAGTGGCCGTTCTTGTGGAAAATTATTTTAATTGTTTCTAATAATGACAAGATTTATTGTATCTTCTATTGTCTCCCTTGGCCCTTGTAGGCACACCTTCCCTTTTAAATAACCCCATAAAAATAATTGAGAGGGGTCAGATCAGATGACCTAGCGGGCCACCACAACTGTCGTTTTTGATGTATGGGGAATTCACGAATAAAATCGTATAAAAAAGTATTTAAGAAATTTAGATAACGTTCACTATTTAATGTTTCACAAAAAAAATAATGGTCCAATTACTCTATCTTTATAGTCTACACCACACATTTGTTCTAAATGAGTAGGTACTGATGACGAGTCCGAATAGTTAAATTAGGTCTACCAACGACAATTTTGAGAACTCACTGTCCCATTGGAACTGAAATCAGTGACTTGTTCCAGATGATGAAGCTTGAAAAATATATTGCTTCAATATTGCTTGAAAACAGCCTTATATTCACGTTCTAAGCAAGATTTTTCATTTTTTGCCATCCTGTATATGCTATCTCAAATGTGAAAAATGTAATACCTTTTTTCAAAAAGCAGGACTTTTTATAATAAATTTGTAGAGAACTTAAAAGGGACACAATGTGTATCACGTATTTTACAAATGGCGAACTTTGAAATTCACATAAAAATCTTTTTTTTTTATATAAAAATACTATATCCTTACTTTCACATCTTGGTTCTTCTCCGGACCATTCCCCATTTTCCATGCATTTCCTCAGATAGGGGCCAATCCTTTCAAAATTGGGAACGCAGTGATACTCAATTGCATTGCTATATGTTGTGCCGTTCATTACTATTATTCGTCCATTATCTATCGTACCTGGGTGTCCACAGTCTACAGCTAAAATATTGCTTTCGTTATTAGCAGTTTCGATATGGCACGTGATGTTACTTACGGGTACAGATAGGTGCAATCCCGCTCCAACTGCCTGTTTTTAGGCAGATTCGAGTTGAATTTCCTTGCATTGAGTGTCCCCTAGGACACCTGTATTGGGCAACACCGCCAACGCTAAGTGTGCTGACTTTGTAGTTTACACCTTCGATGGCATCTGGTTCCTTACATTGTATTTCTAAAAATATGAGAACATTGATAGAAAAAAGTTTAAATAGAACCAATTACAAAATCATTTATTTTTGGAAAATAAGTTCAAGCTATTGACGTAGATTTATTTATTACCAATTTTTAAAGATATTCTTTATATTCTTACCTCTACATCTAGGAGCATCTGAGCTCCACGTTCCGTTTTCTAAGCACAGCCTCCTTGATACTCCGTCTAATTCAAAGTTTGGGTGACATGCGTATAATGCCAGGGCACCGTAATAAGTCGCGTTAGAAGGAAGTACTACTTTTCCATTGTCCATGATTTCTGGACTGCCACAGTCAACATCTACAAAGAATCAGAAAATAAATTTCTTCAAATGTCAGTAACAAAGTTTGTATCTTGTATTATTTGTAACAAGTCAAAAACAAATATTTAAAGGAACGAGGAAAGGAAATTTGTGTGTTTTTGTATTGACTTTCACGTAATTTATCTGAATACAATAAAAATACAATAGTCGGATGTCCCTTAATGACAATAAATGTAAAAAAGAAGACAATAAAACAAAAGACACATTAGTTTAACACCCCCATGGACTGAGGGCAAACCGAAATTTTCGCTAATGTTTCAAATCGAAATCATCACCCAAGTTTAGAATATAACCGCCAAAAAAACTGCTTCAAACACCCCAAGACACAGCAAACAATAGCTGAAGAGATCGATGCTATTGGCAAAACGACTACCGATGATCTTCGCGAGACGCTGAAAATTTCACGCCAGGAATACCACAAAATTTGAACTTAGACAGTAGACCTCGTTACATAAATATAAAATTGCAGTCAAATTCCACGACGGGACAAGTCAACAACCCATGAATCTGGAGAAGGTAGATGTCAGAATTGGCACAGAAGAGAAATTCGCGAGAATTGGCTAAACCACCTTGAAGTGGGATGGAACGTCGCCTCTGGTATCTTGCAGTTCTACAACCAGAGCAAAAATCTCTGGCCAATGTATGTACATGACGCGAATTCAAACGTATTCAAACTTTGAAGTTGTCCTTGCTTATTTAGAGGGAAATAAGTCTCAAGGACGAAAGATTCATACGACAGGTCCAAAAAAACTGAAAATTAAGAATAGCTTTTTTTTTGTATACTATTAACAAATTCCATCTTTAGTGGCATTGTACAGCAATCATTTACTTGTGGTACTATTTATTGTCAAAATAAATTGACATATCTCAAGACTCTATATCATCAATCTAGCCGCTAATCCGTCAAGGATTTTCTGTGCCTGTGGCTAAGATTCTAAGGGACAAAGTCAAACTTAAGGCTTAAGGGCAGCAATAGAAGAACAGTGAAAAATCTATTAAAAGTGCAAAAAGTGCTGATAGTTACTATGAATTAAAACATTTCAGTAGGAAATGGATGAGATGGACTACTTTCTGCCAAACCAGTGCCATCCCGAGGATGTATTCAGTGTTATAAACTAAAAAGATCGGAACGTGTACAAAATCCTTAAGCAAAACAACCAGCCTAAATGGAGAAAAGCCGACTAGCGCAACGCGCTCTCCCACAAGGACCTTAGTAGATGATGCCATAAGAGTCCTAATTATACATGTCTAATTTTGATGAAAGAAGCTTGTACTTACAGACACATTGTGGCACATCACCACTCCACTTTCCTGTATCTTCACAGGTACTTAGTGGCTCTCCTACAACCCTGTATCCCCTTTCGCATCTATATTTAACCAACGCTCCAATTTTGTATGAAGTAGCTCCTACATTCGTCGATTCTGCCGTTCGTATCAGTGTTCTGCCGTACATTCTGTCGTTGCCAGTTACTGACAGGATGCTGTGGTCAGCCAGAATTGGCTCCGGGCATCGAATCTCTGTAAAATTACAATATATTTATACCAACTGCAATTCAAATGGAGAAATACATTACCTTCGCATTTTGGAGAAGAATCGCTCCATTGATTATTTTCTAAGCATATTCTCTTTGGTACTCCATTCAGTCTATAACTCCTAACACAGCTATAAGTGATTATGCTATTTAAATATGTAGTTCCATTAACATATTCCACTGTTCCATATGGCATGGTGGGTACTTTACCACAGTCGATGTCTGAAATAAGGAAAATTAATTTATTTATTAGATTATACTCGATATTTTAAACTATAATTTCATTTATAGATTATGTAAATAATGAAAATACACGAGTATAACGTTTGGATTTACATACAGTGAAGATACAATTTTATATCTTTAAATTTATATGATAAATGTTTTTCTTTTCTCTCTCCTGAGTATGAGGATTAATTTCTCTCTTTGGTATTTAGATGTGTTGTGTGCACTAATCTATGGCCTCCAGACACGTGGTCTGTAGTCATTGACCTGTATCGTTCTGACCCTTGATTTTTCGGATGCATTGTTCCCAAATTCCCGGCATTTCCAACCCCCAGTTCTGATTCAAACTATTTTGATTCTTCTGAATTTCTATTGTCTCCCTGTGGAGTCCTGATCAAAATGTTTTCTCTCTCACTAGAATTCTGGTACTAGTTAGGTCTATCGTGTGACCTGTATCTGCTCGTTGATCTGCTGATGATTTTTCTATGGTGTTATTCTTCAAATGACACTTGTGCTCTTTCAACCTCATGCTGTTATCCAGTGTATACTTTTCCACATATACACAGAATACTGTACGCACTGGAGCCTCCTACAGCTCGACTTGAGGAAGGTTATCCATATCTTCTTTGAGATGTTGTAGCTATATGGTATTAGTATTGTTGCAGACTATATTCTCAACACATCCTTGTATAGAGGGCAAATACATTATGGCTAGATATTCCTCTTTTCCCTCGCTCATATGTGCCTTTCTGAGGTGTCGGTCGATATTCCTATTTATGTATCAATTTCCTCCAAAAGAGGAACATAATTGCTCGTCCAGCTCTCACATAGCCCGTCGATGTTGACAATACCTTGTTTTTGAGTTGGATGGTGATGAGGTTCAACATTCATATGTCTGTCTGTGCCCCAGGTTGCCGTCTGATATTCTCTTGACAAAGACATTTAGGATATCACTTCCTTCCATCTAAATAGTGAAGCTGATGACTCTAGAATCCTTCTTTATCGATGGTACCAGGTAATGCTTGCATCGTAGACATATCTGAACCAGCACCTTGGTTTTAGAGTTGCTGATTTCAAAGCTTTCTTCTCGAAATTTTCCATGTTTCCAATTGCCAAAGTTGCCTTCAGATTGCTCATAAAACGGATATCTAAGTACATCTGGCAACATACCTTCACCAAGTCTATTAATTCTTTCCTGTCTTCTGTAATGAGCCTTCAATTAAGTATGTATTATATTAATATCAAAATTAAAATAAATGCAAATATTTATTTCTTGTGGCACATACACTTACTGCGCCTTTAGTGAACTGTTTCGCCTCAGAAGTACCAGTTACGTTTTTATGAAGATAAAAATTTCATTGGGCTCGAGTTTTGACAGGATAACAGTAAAGTATATTTTGATATTTTCCAAATTCGTTCAGTTTTACTCACATTCACAAGTTGGCGTAGTTCCTGACCATTCCCCATCTCTTTCACAAACATGGGTGTCTTCTCCCCTCAAGATATGACCAACTTCACAGTCATATTTGATGGTAGAATGTACGTTGAAGTCGTATCCCACAACAAAACTGCCAGGCGGCACTTCAGGCTCCTCGCAAGTTATTACTGCAATACACGAAACATAAATATTGCAATTAAGATTGATTGTTAAAACTTACGTTCGCAAGACGGGGCGTCACCAGACCATTTTCCTTCCCTCGTGCATTTCTGTACCTTCTGTCCATCAAGCCAGTAATCGTCTTCGCAGTGGTACTCTACTATGCTTTCTACAGTAGTAGTTCCGTTTCTAAGTTCGTATCTTCCATTGTCAATGTTAGGTGGGGCTCCGCAATCAACAAACTTGCAGGAAGGTGCTTTGCCAGACCATTTGCCACCAAGTCCACAAGAAAGAATCTAAAAGAAATGAAATTTTTAATTTGTAATTGGACTTTGAGTTGAGATTAAAACTTGAGTGAGATTGTTTTCAACTGCTAAATAAACTGACAAACACCGATCTGATTTTGTTTTTTTGGATCCTGAGGTTTTAAATCGTAGACGAAAACAAAAAAGCCATTATTTGAAACTCCTCATGATACTGTAAAACACGCTTTGAGAAAATGAGTGGAAGAAAAATATTATAAATATTGTAAATGTCTAAGGCAATACTAACTGTTTTCTGGTATAGAAGGATTAATGAATTTCTGAATATATGCAATATCGGCTTCATAGTATTGAAAAAATGAGCAACTCCTTTTCTAGCACCAAAATTATATTTTGACACTACATACTTATAATACCGTTTGGCATTCCTTGAGAATAGAGATTATTGAAAAACCTAAATAAATATTGTAAGTGAAGATCAAATCAAGTAATGCTGACTTTTTGTGGCAGGAAGAACTAAAGAAATGCTAAATACACTGCTCAAAATAATTAGAGGAACACTTATTTAAATCTCGATTACTTTTTTATTTGTAATACTATATAAATCTAATAACGCATATCTTAAAGACTAACATTTTGTTCGAATAAATTTACGAAAATAAAACAAATTTACATAATCATTCTTGAGACAATAGTACCAATTCAAAAAAACTACAAGAAATAAAGCGAAACATACAATCAAAATTTCAATTTAGAAATATGCTGTGCCTTGGAATAGTAAACAATGTTGACAGTGCAGCATAAATTGTAAAAAATGAGGCATCTAAGTGAAGTTGAAGTCGTTCGTGTTGTTGCTAGTATAGAGTATGGCACCAGTATTCGACAGGCTGCAAGAGATTTTAACGTAAGCCCTTCTGTCATCCATTGCGTGTAGAATCGTTACTTAGAAACCGGAGGATATAAAAGACGCATTGGACAAGATCCTAAGAGGAAAACAAACCGAATTCAGGACAGGTTTTTAGTCCTATCCTCCTTGCATTCTCGTACATCCACAGCAAAAGACCTTCAAAGTAGGATCAGAACGACTCATGGGTTGGAAATTTCCGACAGTTAGGAATAGACTGAGAAGCAAACTTGAGACCAAGAAGACCCGTGCGAAAACCTATTTTAACTCCGTATCACATAAGGCCTCGTTTACAATTTCCACGTGAGCATATGGCATGGCAACTTCGATATTGGAGACCAGTACTCTTCACAGATGAGTCACGATTTCGTTTAAGTCGTTGTGATGGTCGAGTACGTGTATACCGACGTCCACATGAACGTCATTCTTCAGTTACCATACAAGTCGACAGATTTGGTGGTGGGTCAGTGATGGTTTAGGGCGGAATTAGTCTTGATGAAAGAACCGATATTGTCATAGTTCCACGGACTCTAACCGCTGAACGGTACATTGATTTCATTCTAGAATATCATGTTATACCAGCTGCTTATGGTATAGGTCCAAATTTTCTGTTTATGTAAGATAACGCAAGGCCACATACTGCGATTATCACCATAAACTACCTTCAACATCACGGGATGCAATCCATGGATTGGCCTCCGCTAAGTCCTGATCTAAACCCCATCGAACATCTTTGGGATTTGTTAGATAGGCGTGTTCGGAGGCGCCCAGATCCACCTCAGACTCTCCAACAGTTAACAAATGCCCTAATCGAAGAATGGCAGAATATACCACAAAAAGACATTCGTAGGCTCATCCGAAGCTTACCACGGAGGTGTCAAACAGTAATTCGTGCTAATGGAAGACATACACGATATTAGTGAACCAAATCTCACCAGGACGTTCATGTTATACAGACAGGATCATAGACTTTTCACTTTATTTCTTGTAGTTTTTTTGAATTGGCGCTGTTGTCTCAAGAGTGATTATGTAAATTTGTTTTATTTTCATAAATTTATTCGAACAAAATGTTAGTCTTTAAGATATGCATTATTAGATTTATATAGTATTACAAATAAAAAAGTTATTGAGATTTAAATAAGTGTTCCTCTAATTATTTTGAGCAGTGTATATCGGCCTTAGATAATTTGTAGGACTTTTACCAGAACGTTGTCGTTTAAAATATAATCTATTCAAAATCTAACAAATTAGTAGACAGTTCTTTCTATTAGTGGTGCAACTGGGCGAGTCCCCATTGCACATTCTGGAAGCATACAAGGATATTACGTCTGAAAATCGTTTTCCTTAATAGACCTGTTTTAAATAGAGTGAAGTAGGGGAATATTGATTAGCAGATTGTTATACTTCCAACAAAGAACTAATATAACTGTCCAATGCCAATTAATTGGTGAAGATTTCTTGGTACAGACTAAACGAAAAAAGTATTTTAGAGATTTTCTGAAACGAAAAATACAAAGAAATCTACACCAGTGGCATGATAGCTAATGCAAATATTGTGCAATTATTGAGCAACTGCCTGCAAAGAAGTTTTTACTTCCACTAAATTCGGAGAACAATTTATAGAAATTTTAATTTTTTATACCCGCTACATCAAAATAGTTTCTGAAAGGTGTTATGTAATATGATTTGGGATATGATTTTATGTAGGTACTAGCTTTTATCTTGATATTTTGGGATTATCTAAAAATTGGTAGTATTATACAAGTTATGTATTATGAAATTTATTATCTCTTGAAAACCCGTTCTTTAATTTTCCTGCAAATGTTCCAAGGACGTTTGTTCCTTGATTAGAATTTTCACATAAAGTTCACATAAACTGGGGATAAATTCTGACTCTTTATAGAGATATAGCTTCATGAAGATAACCTGCTGACAATTGATTTTTTATATGTCATAATTAGTTCTGTCAATATAAAATTTAACACACATTTCTGGTTTTCGCTGACTCATGAGACATTTAACACATGACATAAAAAGAAATGGGTTGCATGTAACCTACATTTCTCCAACCACTCTTACAAAACAAATTTTCCTTGTTTTGAATAATTTAAATTTTGCTCTGTCCCTTGAAAGACGCCTGCACGTCATAAATTGCGTTAAGGAATATATTTTTATCTTGTTATTAGTTACCCCTTGTCCAAAAATAATGTATCCCGGCTGACAAGCATATGTGGCAGTATCTCCAGCTCGATGGCCTGATATGCTGACAATTCCTCCGTGGATAGCTGGAGGATCAGGACACCAGTCAAACAAACATTCTGGAGTGGAATTGGTCCACTTTCCGTCGTCTCCACATATTCGCATCTCGTGTCCTATTAAAGTGTAATTTTCGTGACAAGTGTAAACAGCTTTTCCACCGTGAGTTGTCCGTCTGTCTTCTAATGTGACGGTGCCATGTTCTAAGTCTGGCAAGTCTCCACAATCGACGTCTATAATAAAAGTATTGGCAATTTTTAAATTTTATTTAAATAAAGTCAATGTTCTGTTTGAAAAGAAATAATTATTATTTATTAACGATACTTACATTTACATGTTGGGGCAATTCCAGTCCAAAATCCATTTTTTCCACAACTTCTTTTACCATCACCCGTAAGCATATGTCCTTCGGGGCACTTATATTCAATGTTAGATCCTACATCGTAATTGTCCCCAACTATTGTCGTGTTTATTAGCTTGTCCGGACTTCCACATGAAGAAGGAGCTATAAACGAAATTTAAAAAAATACACAGAATAATTTAAGGTTTAATAAGTATGATGCAATAATAAAGATTAAGCCGTTCGAAAATTCCAAATTGTTCCATAATGAAAAGAAAACATAGTAACATACATAGTGTTTCAAACATTCTTTAAGAGGCAATTTCTTGAGAAAAATTAATGAGAATTTGTCATATAAAAAATTTCCTTCCTTATATTAAATAACAATAGAAAATTACAATCCATTTGTTTAACGTCATTTTCTACTTTCAAATTAAATCCAAAATTAATATACCACCAGCGAAATGGTTCATAAGTACATAAGTAAGTTTACAAATTTTATTAGAAGAAAGTGTCAATGTAACTGTAAACTATAATAGATTCATAAAGAATATTCAACATTTGCGGCTAATGGGGTACTGCAAATAAGGTTAATTACACACATCACCGCCGTTAGTATTAAAATAATTGATATTCTATAAATAAACTGCTACGTTAACAAAGCGATTGTAATAAATTATGTTTTTTTAAGTAGATTGACTCATTTCTTAGTGCATTGTCAGATTAGTGGGACAATATATTAATTCAGTTTTATTATGTTATTATTACAGAAAAAAAATGTTCAAAGAAATATCAATTTGTCTTACAGTTAGAGTTTTTATAAGGATTCCATATAAGGTAATTAGTTTTTAATGATGCATTCTGAAATCGACTAGAATGCCTCAATATATTAGATATCTACAACCGAAAGTATGTACGTTATTTTTAACTAAAACCACAGACAATATAGTTTATTCACGACTATTGTATAATGTACCCATTATACGTCTGTTTGCTCGACCTCAATAATACCCATTAATCACGGCAGTGATTAATGAGTCATTAATCACTACTGTCAGATGCTTCCTTAATTTAGCTATAATATTATATTGTTCTGCTACAAACAATCCGTTTTTAAAATTTTATCGTGTAAACCACTAAATATTTTCAATTCAGTGCTGTACATATAAAAAAAAAAATTAAAAAAGTGAATTTTCCTAGACCGGATTCGAACCCGGGACCCGCGGTTGGAAGGGAAAGAGCATCTACACTGAGCCATCAGCGACTTCATTTGTGCGAGTCGTATATCTGTTTCTTAACATACCATGTTTTTCGAAACATTTCAAAAAAAACTTCAACAAAAATATTTAGTAGTCGTGGATAAAGTATAGTATTCTACTCCCGTATAATGGGTATTATTCACTCGCTGATTTAGGCCACTCGCCTGCGGCTCGTGGCCGTAAACTTCACCTCGTGAATAATACCCATCATTATACGCTCGTTGAATAATATACTATTATCTCCATAGCAATTGTCTGTGCTAAAAATTAAAATTAGTGTTACGTAAGAATACCACTACAAAATGTTATAAATTAAGTGAGCACAATATTGCTGACCCGTTAATGTGACAAATTTGTAGTATTTGGTATGGGACCAATTTTTTTCTGTAATTATTATTATTCGGCTTTTTCAATTGCATTTTATTGAATATATCTTATTTTCTAGGCATGTTTAGATACCTTCAGTTCATACATATTGTCACTTAATTATGTAAAACTATTTCAGAGGATGAACCTATGTTCCAAATAACTTAATTTTCGAGATATGGGGTGTTAAAGTCTCTGAATGTATAATATTTGCATAAATATCTGAAGATATTTGACGTAGGCTATTGGAACTAGTGTCGTCATTAAATAAATGTAAAAATTCAGCTAATTTGTACAGAATTATTTAAATAGTAGGTTTAACGAAATAACTCGGAATTTCGACAAAAATTTGTTTGGAACGTTCAATTACCAATTATTTTTCTAAGAAACAAGTTCTTTCTAGTTTTATTTGGAAGTTACACCTAAAACAAGCTTACCATGCTGTGTTGAATAAAATGACAGTAATTCTAAAACTACTTGTCTCACGGAAAAAAATATAAATATTTTTTTGTTGGAAACAGTGTAATTATTAATAGTTCAAGAAATCAGTGGCGCAGAAGTTCTTGTTGTTTTAGAGATAATTAAAATTCAAAATATCTGCGACAATATTTTTTTATATTTTTGTTAATTACACTATATTTAAAATCGTATTTGCAAAAAAAAATCCAATAGACTTTTTTAAACAAGTAGTTTTAAGTAGATTTACTCAACCATGTAGTTAGGTTATTTTAGATTATTGCATAATAATTTGTCAAAAATGACTAGTACTTCAAGAAGGATGGAAGAAAAATTTTGTGTTAGAAAAATAATTAGAAATCAGTTGCTCCGATCACATTCACAAAATACTCATTGGTATCCATATCTCCATATTACTGGTTAACAATAATCCAAGTTTCGTCATTCTATACCAAACATCTTAAGAGATATTTATGCAAATGTTAAATTTTTCAAAAACGTTAGCAATGTTAAAAACTATAAACTGCTTAGGTCATACGACTTTTCTTCTTAAAATGTTGCAAAAGTAACCTCCCGAAATATTTTTACGTACATATATGAATGGAACGCTGATTATGAAAGGAAAATTAAGCATTATTAGCATATGTAGTAGTATAATATTGTTTTAGTGAATTATTTGCATATTTAATATATTTTAGTAGCCGTAGACAACGTTAAATATGCAAATATTTAATAGCAAAGCAAAGACTATGCATAGGTACATATTACTAATTTAATATTATTTTAGTCATTCATTTTCGAAAATAGATCTAAAATTTATTGAGTAATAGATCAACTTCTATATATTTTCAACGTGAATTATACTAATAATAAATCGATTCATTTGAAAATGTTCTGGATCTGTGTAAAGTATATTTAAGTTTTCTACCTCCACTTTATTTACTTTGCAATACGTATTTAACACTTGTCTACAGTTTCTGATGTTAAAATTTTAAATATGCGAATATCAATAAATAAATACATTTTGTATCATCACCCTTACTTATGTATTTGAGAAAATAAAGCGAATTATACATTTTCTTTATCTCAGGTTAAAATTGGAAGTATCTTTATTATTTGTTGAAGCCAGGTGCAGATGATTTGTAGAGTAACATCAATTTTTTATAAATTTTTATTAGTTAAGTTAAATATCGATTTTTTGAAACCAAATAGTTTTACAAAGTATTAAACATGTAGGTACACTATATCGTATTATATGTACCTCGAGCTTTGTGAGGAAATTGCACCAATTTGTTACCGAAAAATTACTAAATAGCTTTTTGTTGTGTACCTGGCCGTATCTGGCTACTGCAACTTCTATCTAGAATATCTAATTATGCAAGCACATATACAATACCGTTATGTACTCAGGTATATCAGGTAAATAGATCAGGTATTATTTGACACTTTCACTTAGTTCGTACATATTAAAATGATAACTTTGCACTACAAATATGCGTTTGTCAAGACTTCATTAGAATTAATTTATTATTTCCATCTAGTGAATTTAAAATTATACTTCACAATCTAATCAATCTGGTGCTGGTTTAGTTTGACAATTTTAAATACAGTTGATTATAGAAATCACAGAGATAAAGAACAGCAAATAAGAAAGGAAAAAATAGTTTTATGATAGAACAATTTTCTTCGATCCTATCAAATAATAACAAATTATTTTTGATTTATTTTTAAATTAGCCTAAATCCATTGAAATAAGGTAAAGCTCCAAAAGCTAATAATAAAATTTATATTTAAAGCCAGGTAGTCATTAAATTCTTTTTTATATGGTTTTCGGATAGGCCTTGCTACTTTTCAGTCAATTAATTTTACCTGTATGTTACGGCAACTAAGATCATGCCTTGTTAATCTTAAACAATAACTATAGAAGTTATATGAACTTACAGGTTAAAAACCTCAAATGTCAATTTCAATATCATCAAGAAAAGAATATCTTTAAATTTACTAAATTACTCTTTGTGACATGTTGAACACTTTAAAATAATGAATGGAATATGAAATTTAGAAGAAGAATCAATATCACTATTAACTGGAATCACACAAACGTCTCTTTTATATTTGGAAGACAAATTTATTTATTTATTTATTTATTTATTTATTTATTTATTTATTTATTTATTTATTTATTTATTTATTTATTTATTTACTTATTTATTTATTTTATTTTACATNATTTATTTATTTACTTATTTATTTATTTATTTACTTATTTATTTATTTATTTATTTATTTATTTATTTATTTATTTATTTATTTATTTATTTATTTCACTACATATCCAACAGGCAAATGCCCAATTATAGGATACAAAGTCAATGTAGTAATACAACACAACGCATTCGAAAATATATGTTAATAAATAGAATTAATAATAATAAATGAACATGGCAATATACCAGCTCAAAATATAGTAGACATAATATAATATACACAGAGAAAAATATATATTAGAAAAGCAAAACTTGATGTGTAATTCTGCGTGTTTTTAACTCATTATACAATGAAAGTGATCAAGTAGTGCATTATGTGGATATCCTCTTTCAGGATATATTCCGTCAAGCTTAAATGCGACAAATTTAAAAAAATTTCCAAAGATTCAATGTGTACACTATAAAAAGGACTCCAGATGCATATTCCAATTTTGACCTAACAAACGATTCATAAAGTAATTTCATAGTATGTATGCTATGGAATCCTTGAGAAGAACGTATAATAATACCTAAAGATTTATAAGCAGATGATGCAACTATGTCAATGTATTTTATAAAATTTAATTTAGCATCGAAAACAACACCAAGATCTTTTATTTACTGAGGCCTTTGCAACATAGAACTATCAATGTTATAGTTATATTTGATGTGGTTAATTTTACGTGTACAAGACATTACATTACATTTTTCTGCATTTAGAGGTAATTTATTTTGGTTGCACCAAACAGCTACCATATTTATTGCTTTTTGAAGTAGAGCACAATCAGATTCAGATGTAATTTCTGTTAATAATTTCAGATCATCAGCATACAACAAA